CGCTGAAGCCGCTGGTACCAGCCACATCGGTTATTTTCGCTTAGTTTACAAGCTTGGATATTTATTAAGGATGCGCTGTAAAATTAGCTATTAGTTAGAAGAATAACCAATATCGATAATTGTAGCATCATCTTAAATAATATGTACTGACATATTAAAATGAACTTTTCGAGTAAAACTGTACGTTTTCAGGACGGATAATGCCGTTTTTATAGAAAAATCAATCAGAAAATGATGAAAAACGAGTAACCACCTTAAATCGACGGTTTTATAAAGAAGCGCGGTCAATCGGCGGTTTTGATGAAAAAAAGGTGACATGGGTTAGTAAGAAAATGTAAACTTAATTGAGTTTTTTAACATAAAAGCCTTAAACTGTAGATAGTATTTAGAATATGAAATATATTAGAAAATAATCTGATATTTTTCTTTTCTCTAACGTATAGTGTGAATGAACGAACCAACGACGATTTCAACAATTCAACAACATAAATCACTAATTTATTCCTTTGAATAGGTATATTTGCTTTTTCATATATTTCTAAAATAAAAATTATTTTATTGATATTCAATAAAAATGAAATCTGAAAAAAAAGGTGTGACGCGCAGTCCCTTCAGGATTAAAAATGTGAAAGACGATAGATCCTGCTATATTGATAATGCAAAGACTCACCGATATGTATAAATTTTACATATCACTCTATTGAAAAGTTCGAAAACTAAGTAGTTTCATTATATACGGAACTCGAAACGCATTAACTCTAAACCTGTTCCTGCATTTTTTTATAATGCTAAAATCCGGTTTAGAAATATAAGCTAAAAATTTTCTATCTATACTTTCTCCGATTGAATATCTGCTTCGGACTTTGATACAATGCTCTTAATGTTCTCTAATGGAAAAGTAACAGTTACTATTGTGTCTCTGACGTTCTGTGGGGATGTCAAATTTCTACCTTATATACTTGTACACTCGTTTTAGATCCTGTTTGACAAAATAAAAGGTATAATCTATGTTTCTTTTTAGATAAAATAATAAATAGAATGTAAATACTAGCAAATGAAATTTTTCTTGATATATTTTCTTATCGTTGAATGGTTCGTTACGTTAATGTGTTTTTGGTGATTAAATATGCGTTTAAATTCTCTTGTATGTTTAGCTCTTTGAACAAATGATTATTTATTAAATCCTGATCTTTTTATTAAACAAGGTTTGTCTTATAATAAATATTCTTCAATATTATTTCGATTAATTTTAAATTGATCATCTTTTTGTTCTTCTATTAAACGTATTCATTTTGATGAAACAAACTGAATAATTTGTGATCTTATTTATGAATTATTGTTTAATGATAACAAAAATTCTTCGTTTTCCTAATCTTAAATCAGTTGTTCTTATTCGATGTTGATAAATTGAAGGAATAGTTGAAAATTTATATTATCTTATTGAAGATCAATTAGATAAACTTACATTAACATTTGATGAACACCTGTTCAACCGATTTTATTATATAAACAAAACATTTATCAATGGTTTATGATAAAGGTAATCAATAATTTATTTTATAGATTCTCTAAAATAATATTGGATTATTTATCTTGAAAAAATCATTCTCCACTGAGATGATTTACATCCTATAGAAATTCTTTCACTGGAACGAAAGACGAATATTTTAGATGTCAGATAATAAGACCTTTTTTCGAGAAAAATTTTAGATGATAAATCTATATTTGATAATTGTTGACAACTACTATTACTCAGTGACAAATCTAGTAAAATGATTACATAGCTATAGAAGACTGGAATATGGTCGGGAATCAACCTAGGCTTCTCTCTTGCCACAATAGATCTTATTCAATAAGATAAATATCAGTTTAATATTGATGTGTCAGATGATGAGATTCTCTCATAACATATATTAAAGTAATAAGATTCAATATTAATAAATCATTATTTTCTTGTTATGTAAAACAAAGATTATAGATGTGAATAATTAGTATCCTTTTGTCAATAAGTTTTGGTTCGTTTGTCAATTATCTTAAATATATTCGAATAATTTATATATTAAAAGATTAACTAACTGTTATAAGAGAGATCTAGTTATTATTATTCTGTGTTTATTTTCAATATTTTATATATTGATCAACGAAAAAAAGAATAAGCTTTTTTAAATATGAGTTTTATATTATTAAATCTAAAATAAAAAAGAATTTTTCATAGAAAAATAAATATTTTCTCTCTTTTATTTTTCTTTGTAAATTATTCTCAAAAGAATCTCAATTAAAATCTCTTCGAGTTGATATTATCTATGGATTTATTGATGCTCCTATTCATCTATATTTACCATAAAACTCTTATCACTCTGGTAATGGTCTGTGGGGGAGAGAGATGCAAATTTTTACCCCTATACACTTCAACACTATTTTAGGATCGAACGAATTCTATTGTTTCACTTTTTTTCAGTTTGGCGCATAGAGACACTAAAAATAGTGAAGCAATCAATAAGTTATGGTTCTGATAAAAGAAAAATTTAAGATGGATCCGGTTTGACCCTAGAACGTTAACGAAGAGTTGAATGTAAACAAATCCAAATGCTTACCTGATGTTTTTCGAGTAAGAAGAAGAAAAATGAAAACGTGGAGTGTCCACATTTTCGAAAAGCCGTTCCTTGTCCAACAACGATATGATGAGAAAATGTTGTCACTCTCAAAAAAAGATTCTCGTTTGATAAAAACAAATGAAATTTATCGTTGATTTTCTCTCCATATATATATATATATATATATATTTGTCTCTTTCTCTTTTCTCATAAATTCCGTTCGATAGCATGTAGAGAGAAAACAATAGCGATGTTGGTCTTCCATATGACTAATGAATTAAAATCGACCGTATGAACTAAGAATATGAAATCAATCAGATTCATTTCGAAAAACAAAATGAAGAACTTCCGAATTTTAATTCGAATAAATTTCTAATTAGAGAAAAAATTTTATTTTGAAAATTGAAAAAAAAGAAGAACGTGATGAAGAGAAATGAGAATTGACAAAACATAAATGTCAATGTATGATTGACATCAATGGATTAGTTAATATTTATTGTTAGACTTATCAATTTGTCAGGATTGACTCTAAATCACGTTCTTGATCTTTTTTTATCAGATGATCTCTCGTCTCAAATTTTATTGATGGAAATACTGAGAAAAAATTTTCTCTGTGAAGTAACTTGAACTGTTTTTTTACAAGAACTCTTTGGAAATTACTTGAATAGATTTTGTAAAGTTTCAGATTAATAGTTCACTTGTCAGAGCTCATCTGTCCTATTCATTTGATCATCGAGTACCCATAGGATTTTTATGCGGGCGCCTCTTTGTCACTTTTGATATGCGTAGGAGATTTGTTTGGTATTTTTAAAAGGGCTATCTATCTCTACCATTCTTTAATCATTCAATCAGAGGAAGCGCGAAGGAATAATGGACATCCAGATTCATACCTTTCTACTGACCATTTAGTTCGTTCGATTGAAAAAGTGTTAAAACGCTTTTCAACACTCATTCATTTCACTTTGTACTGCCAACATGAAAAATTTCTTCGAAATTCTCCTAATAATTTATCCAAATTAGCTCCAGAATGATACGTCATGTCAGCACTAAGTTGTTTTTCTTTTGTATACAAAGATAGAACATTTGTAAATATAATCAGCTGGTTCTCCTATATGATTGATCAATTTAAGCGAATATATAAGCACATTTTTAATACGACTATATCCATGAAGAAAATTGAACAACAGCACTTAATAGTCTATTTGCCCGATCGAGCTTTCTGGTGATCCAGAAGAGGATCATTTCTCTATCGACTATCAAAGTCAAATCCAAGATTTGTATTTGGTGCATATCTATATGGCAAAATGAAGAGTATTTTATGGAATAATTATGAAATTAGCACCGACTTTTTCAAATAATTTAATTGATTTATATATTTTGTACATCAAACTAATCGATTCTTTTCTATGAATGCAATCATAGTATTGATTATAAGAAAATGCATGCATTGTAAATTCTGGATATTTGCTTGATGAGTCGATTTTCGCCGGTTATGGATGAAAAAGTTGTTACGATGGTATCAGTTAAAGATATTTTACAGATATTTTATCGAGATTTTCATTGAGAATGTGAGTGTGAATATTATATATTCATTTCTCACCTCAACTCCTATTCACTCTTAAACAAATATTCTAAGTCGATGAAAATTGTGTTTAAATAGTTACATGTTGTTTATTGCTGTATACAACCATATATACTTCTGAGAAGCAAAAGCTGGACTCTATATTCTAAAAACTCGTCAAATTTCCTATCATCTCTTATTCTTGAATCTGACTGAAACTCTTAACAGTCGAGTGTTTTCCATTGTGAGAGTTTTCCTGGATATCACTCGCCTTCATTAAATATTTATTCTGTCTGACCTCCCCACTCAGTGGAAAAATGGCAGCATTTTCTCTTGATGAAACGGTTCAATCTCCTACTGGCTTCACTAGTTCACTAGTATTTCTGGGCAATCCAATTCAGATCACGCTCAGCCAAGATAGTCGTACGATTGAATTTTCTAATGTATTACATCCGGACTGCAGTGAAACTGGTAGAAGAAATGAAGTTATAGCAACAACCACAATTGTACCGACAGTCACATCTGTAAAATCAAGCAAAGGGATCATTCACACCGAAAAAAATGAAGCGAATTAACTATGAATTAACGACTAAGTCATCTGAAAAAGATAACTTAAATGATAATGCACCAATCGCATTGGTCCATTTGTTTTATTTTTTCCGTCTGAATGACTCCTAAGTGAGAAAAGAAATAACTTTGTCTGGATTTTCTTCCAATGAAGAAATAGTTGATTGATTGATCAATTTCGTCTATAGAAAAATATATCATTATTTGGCATTGACGAAGAATAGAAGTCAAGTCGAATATATAAATGTATCGATGATATGTTGATTAAATTAAATTGAATGAAAATGAAATATTCAAATGTTGGATTAAATGATCTAGGTGATGAAATTCTTCTGATTATTTTGAAAAATTTAAATCATTTTGATATACATTATTCTTTACATGGTGTTAATCAACGACTAACTCAATTGATTCAAGATTCAATTTTTACAAATCATCTATATTTTATAAAAAAGTCTTCAGATAAGTTTATTGATCGTCTTTCGGATAAAATGATACATGATCGATTTTGTTTACAAATTTTACCTTCAATTGATGATAAAATCGAATGTTTAGCTCTTGAATCATAATCAATGAAAAGTGTTTTAGATGCTTCTCATTATGGCAACTTACATTGTCTTGCACTTCATAATGTTGATGAAGAATAATTTCGAAGTCTATTATCAGGTAAGAATGTTTTAATTGACTTGTTGTCGATAGATTTTCTTATTTATGTTTAGATCGAAATCTTTCCATTCCTATATTGATGAATCGAATTACGATACTTATTCTTGCATGTTGTCGAATTGAAAATTATTTTCAAATGTTATCGTCAGTAGCAAAGATATTCAAATGACTCTTCCCAATGTTCATCAAACTAAAATATTTAATATAACATGAATCATCGTATAAAAATTGTGTTCGATTAAATTTTGATGATCCACTAATTCTCAATTTTCGTTCATCAACACTTTTATATTTGGATATCAAAGTACAATCTTATGATGATTGTCTTTATCTTCTCGATGGTCGTTTCAATCAACTTCATAGACTTATTATTGATGTGGTTAATCCTATTAATATAGGCACAGTTGATAATCAGGTTAGTTTTGTGAAAAAAATTTTGTTATTGTTAAATACGAAAAGTTATTTTGATTTCAGGATCTTTTACCAAATCTAAAATATTTTTATTTTTCATGTAATATCATGAGATTTTATAATGATGAAATAATTCTTTCACTTCTCTCTCGAATGTCGAATCTTGAACGACTCGACTTATATATTATATTTGATTGTCAAACAACATTTATTGATGGAAATTATTTGAAGAAAAATATTCTCAATTCTATGACGAAATTAAATGAATTTCATTTTTCTATTACTTCACATATATCTAATGTAATGAAATTGAATTTACCATCAAAAAAAGATATTCAACAAACATTTATTCATTTTCAAACTAAGAATATTATTTATGTTGATTATTTTCCAGAAAGTAAAAAAGGTCTATGTCATATCTATTCATATCCATCTAAAATGATATATTACGGTGATATTACAAATCAATTTCCAGGTGGATTATATGAATATGTTCGTCAAGTGTCATTATTTGATGAAAAACCTTTTGAACATGAATTCTTACTTCGAATTCAAAAATCATTTCCATTATTGGAAATATTATATGTGAAGAATAAAAAACCACAAAATCGTAAACAATCAAATGATAATCAGCAATATTTATCTCTTATTCAATTTTCTTCTCTTAGTGAACTTCGTCTCAACGATGTTCATGATGATTATATAGAAGAATTTCTATTTCATACAAAAACATATTTAACGAAAAATGTCAACCTTTTTATTGAATATGAATCTTTAGAACGAATAACACACAATTTCACAAGAGAATGCACACGAATTAATTGTGCAAAAGTTGATAAATTATATTTATGTGGTAATGATGAATTGAAATGTGAAAATTCTTTAGGAAAATATTTTCCTATTGCCAAAATAATTAATCCAAGAAGATATTGAAAAAGAACAAAAATCTTATATTTAATAAAAGAAAATTATCTTTTCTTATTAAAATACAAAAAAATAATCTAAATTGAAAGATTTTCCATAAAAAATATATGGGTGGAATATATATTAAGTGAAAAGAATTTGTTCAAATTTTGTTTTTCTTTCGAATAAATTTTTTTCTAACAATTTTATTCGAAGTCAATTCTGATATGGAATGAGTTTTGTCAATGTTTCAATGTCTTAATTATAGAATCTAATAAGACTGGAACCATGATATTTCATCGTTGCATTATTATCATTTGATCTTTGTCTTATCGTTCATTAAAACTAAATGTTTCTTTTTCAATTAACACATTCTATCCGATCGTATTGAAAATATATTTCGATTTGAATGAGTTCAGGTAGATCATCTGTGCTCTTATATTCATTAGATATCATAAATAATTATTCTATAATATTATTATTAACAATTCAATGGTAATAAGTGATACTTGTTCGATGTCTCTCTCGCTGCAATGTATATGTGAATTGTAAATGATTTCTACAATGAATATCGTTTCTCAATTTATTTGTTCTTCTATGACTATTCAAACTTACAATCAATTCTCATTCTCATTTAAAAAAGTGTAATACACTTAGTTAAGTTACAAGTCGAACGGAATGGATTGTCTTTTTTTTTCACATAAAATTATTTTGAATTTTACTACATCATTTATTGATTTATTTATTTGATTGTCCATCAGATCTCGATTGTTTTCTAAATTTAAGAGTACAAATATCTTTCAAATGTATGTTGTTCGTTACTATGTGAAGTATTTAACTTACTTTACTTAACAAAGCAATGGTAGAAAACGAATAACAGAAGATAATCCTTATTGACTAGTGCACAGATATTGAGACATGTATACAGCAGAAGCAAAATCTACAAACATTTACAGGTTTGAAAATTCACGCTGCTATAGAGTTGTCTTAAAAAGTAGAGTATACATTGTAGACTTTTTAAGTGAGATTTAAAATATGTTTTCAGCTGAAAATTTTTATTTAAACGATGATTCGATTCTTGTCTATTTCTGATTTTTTTCTATTCGTTGACTAACATACTTTCTCCTCGTAATTTATTTTCTTTTCAGATTTCTATTAACTTGTTCCGGATAGTGATATGATAGCTGCAGAAAAAAAATCAAACATTACAATATTCAACTTAGATTTGTTCAAATCATAGTTTTATTTTAGATTTTCGTTAGAAACACTAGTTGGGGCATTAAACTGTAAAAGTACCGAAAGCCCTACAGAAATGAAACAATTAAACCTCTCAATGGTTTCAAATGAAAACTGATCGGACTTTTATATAAAAAGACTCCATGATTTAAAAGCTTCGATAATTTAATAAGACGAATAAAATCTTTTATCTTCTATTATCCTCTGTTATGTAATCTATCTTGTGGTATAAACCGCTGCAATCAATCACAATGAAATGTTTAATAGTGTGCTCGAGTTGTTTCTTTGTTAATTTTGGAAAAAATACAAGGTTACGTCTCTCTTCTAATTAATTTCGTGGTCGTTTTCCTATGATAGATACTTGGAATCTTCTTCGTTGTCAACCATATATTGATCGGATATTTATCTGAGTGGTGTGTGTGTGTTTTGGTATGCCATATAATTCTAATATATCTACTCACAGACATCCTCACTCTTCCAATGAAAAAGTGAAGAAAACCATTAAAATGAATAAACTTCAATTGATTAAATCTGCAAAAGTATTTGATAAATCCAATGATAAATGAACAAAATTCGGTGAATACTATCGAATGAAGAAAAATGAATGGTTTCACATTAAAGAAAATCTTCTGTTTCGTCATTTGTCTTTCTAACCAGATAAATTCGAGAAATCTTCTTAAAACATGAGAAGATTGTCGTCTAACAAGAAGAATAAATTGAAGAATTAACTTTTGCTTTTGTATTATCTTCGTAAATATATTGACGAGGATTTAATTCAAGCTTATTCAGAATATCTAAACATCTTTTTAAAGAATTGATTTTTATTCAATTCGAATTTTTCTTCCATCAGCACAAATTATTCTTGCTTTGATCAATACAATTTTAGACTCTTTCAGAAAAAAAGCGGAGTCAATCTTGAATTTTTATTCCTCTAAACAAAAAGATGATTGAAAATCATTTAATTCTATGAGAAATTATCTGAAGGAAAATGGTCAATAGTTAGAAGAAAACGTTGTATGGTGATCTTCTTGATTATAATCAGTGTCAAATAATAGGGATCAGATGCTTTTTTCATATGTTAGCACAAATTTGTTCACTAGGAAAACCTGCGTCCACGGTTTGTTTGTCAATGTTGAAAAGCAGCTGCCCGTCAATGCGCAATATTTGAATTTCAATGATTGAAAAGTATTCTAAAATAGATAAATGAGAACGAATAAAACGTTGCTTAAGTAAAAACTGACGAAGAATTTTTCAATAGATTTAGATTTTTCTCCTCAATTCATTTTTTAATAGATGATTATGAAAATGATATTGAAAAAAGTTTCTCAAAATTAATAAGATTGAGATTTTATTTTGATTTTATCGATCAATACAAGTTCCACATGCAAATGCTGATTAACTGAAAACGATTCATTTCATTATTTCTTGTGTCAATATATTTTACGTGAAATAAAATCTTTTAGCTAAATTCTAAATAAGTCAATTATTAGAATGAATTCATCAAGATCGTCCTTCTTATTCGTCAATTTATCTCGAGAAATTCGAATAACAATGTTATTTTTAATGAACGTTTTAATAAACATTTCTTCAATCATATCAGAGATATCGATTTGAGATCTTAGTTTGTTTATAAAAGACAATTTTCATTTGATTCAAATGAAGAATTTCGTTCAAAAGTGGAAAAGAAAAAGTTTTCAATAGATCTTTTCCAACAAAGTTTTTATGTTCTTGACATTATTTGCGATGTAAAAAGGCTTTAAAAAAATAAGATCAAAGATAAGGTTTATTTAATTAGGAATTTTTTTTTCTATTCAGAGAACCGAATGATCTTCTATTCTAACAAAAAAATATATTCATCATTAATATGAAGTTCTATCTCAAATTGCTTGATCTTCTAAGATCATATTTGATTTGGAAATCTAAATTCAATGGAAATGTCTATCAATCTCTTAATTATTTTACTTTTAAGCTTTTCCCAAATCAATCCTATGCAAACAAGAGTGACGTTTATTGTTATCGTTTTTCAGTGTTTATGTTTGGAAATGCTTTGTTGAATACTTCAAAAGGTTACACATCTTCTCAATAAAAGTAGAAAGCCAATAAATAAATTCCTTTAACTAGTACGATTAGATTAGAAAACGAGAATGTTTTTTTACAGATTGCACTTGTTATATATGAAGAAAAATCTTTTGAAAATAAATTTATCAGGTTTTAAGACAAAGATAATAAATAAATAATACTCTTTTCATAAAGTTACTTCAATGATAGAAAATCCTAGTAGCTGATCTCTTGTCAAAAAGAACACCTTTATATATATATATATATATATGTTTTTTCAAGTAAGAACTAAATTATAATTAATAATTTAACTTTAAACATGAGATTATTAAAATAAAATATCTAGCTAGATCAGAAGTGATTGAGAAAAAGCGACTTTCTTAAAATATAGTTTATAGCTAAATACAATATAATTACTAAAGACTATCACACGAAAAATTTTTATATAGATTGTTCATTATTGTGAGAAAAAAAAACTCTGTAAATAAAAAGCTAAATAGATTTCTGAACGAGAAGAATAAAATCTTGGATTTTCAGATTTCTTTTAATATTCTTCGATTTGAAATAATAAAAGAGTTATGTGAAAATTTTTTGTGTAACAGTCAATAGTAAATATCCGGTTGATTCGATTAGGAAATAGAGATGAGCACCGGGACCAAAAAAATTTTCTGGTCCCGGTAAAAGATTTGCTTGCTGTTCTGCTATCTTTATTGTTAAAATATTCTTTGACTGTCCATTTTGTACAGAAATGTTTGCTCTTTCAGCCTGTATATTTTAAAATGTATCACAGATTTTCATTATCAATTAATTAAGCCAATACAACGACCGGGACCAAATTGGTCCCGGTTGGCTCCGGTCGTCTTGGTCCCGGTCATGTATTTGCTTAATTAATTGATAATGAAGATCTGTGATACATTTTAAAATATATAGGCTGAAAGAGTAAACATTTCTCTACAAAATGCACAGTCAAAGAATATTTTAACAATAAAGATAGCAGAACAGCAAGCAAATCTTTTACCGGGACCAGAAAATTTTTTTGGTCCCGGTGCCCATCTCTAACCGTATGATATGATATTGTGTCTTTAAGAAGAGCATGTCATAGGAAATTTTTTTTCTTTTAGACAGTTGTTCACCTCAAACCATCCAATCCTTGCTCGAGAAGCGTTCAATTCTTTTGGATAGTCGACCTCGTCAACCCCTCCACCCCTTGCTCGAGAAACGTTTGATTCTTTCAAATAGTCGATCTCGCCAACCCATCTACCTCTTGCTCGAGAAACGTTCGATTCTTTTGGATAGTCGACCTTGTCAACCCATCCATCTCTTGCTCGTGAATATTTCTTTCAGAGAAAAACAAAAAAACAAAATTTTCTCTTCACTGAAACTTCTCAAACCAATCAATGTTCCAAGCGATAAAAGATAAACAATTATCCTAAATCTTTTTTTTCTTTAACTAGAAAAAGAAAAGAATTAATGTCCCAATGTCCAGAGCATTGATAATAAAAATCTATCGAAAATATTTTTTTTCTTTTCAATTAGAGAGAGAGAAAAAAAAATATTGTCCCGTATTGTCCCAATGTCCCGGGTATTAACGCATAAACATCTCACTAAAAAATCTTTCCTTCTTAATATACAGAAAAAATGAAAGTCAATCAATTTTCCAAACATAAAAACTTCTTTAAAATTACTTACTCAACTAAACTATCTTAAATACCTCACAAAAAACAATTTTATTCATA